GAGGAATATGAGAAACATTTAAAGAGTCTTCAAGTCCCTTATTAGCTCATTTATCAGCTATTTACCAGAGTCAGGGAATAGGTGTGGAGGGAGCTCTATAAGACAGACAGATGTTTCTGTAGGATACTCAGTGGATGTAAAGAGCTTTTGTAATTAATTCCTCACAACAATATGTTAAATATGGCAAAATCAGAGATTTAGAACTATCTAGATAGACTATATTTATTTATTTCATTTTTTTACCTGTTTTGGGGACAGATTTGTTCCCCCCCTGCATTGATTAACTTTATTCAAATTAAAAGGCTAAAAATCTTCTAACGTGTCCATTGTGAGATTATGCTACTGCAGAAAGAACTTTTATTTTAATGCACTTTGCACTTTTTTTTTTACCAGTAGTGCCAATAAGTCTGTTTATATCTGCAAATAAAGCATCTGATAAGAAGAGGCAATGTTTGAATTTTCATTTTTTTCTGAGAACTTTTTATTTCATGAACAAAGAACAGAGACAATGTCATTTTGGTCCAATGTTACCTCTGATATTACGTCTACAGAAAACAGCTCATGTCATACAAACAGTTTCTAGCTCCACAAACGACAGAAATATCCTGCAGTACAACATTTTAGTACCAACGCTCCTTCAAGTTTCTTCTGCTAATGAATTTCCTGTTGTCATATTCATACAGATAATAAGGAACAGCTACATATGTTAAGCACAATATACAAACAGATACTGTACATTTGATTTTGCAGTGTTTATTTTTTTAAGGTAACACACTACACACAGGGCCAGGATTCATTACCAGAAGATCTTCAGTCATTATTGTTTGTGGTTCAGTGTTTAAGTTTCAAGTATGACACAAAGGCATCTGCACTGTATTGTACACAGAAAAAAACAGTCCACATTAATGAAGCCATGGTGAAGTGCAGATATGGTTGTTGTCTCCATTTTAAAGCACACAGCTGAATCCTGACATTTACTTACACAGAATAAAAAGACACAAACACAATTTATTTTCTCTGTCTGAAGTTAAATCAGAACAAACTTATCTTGTTTTAGGCTAGTTAGAATTACCAGCATTATTTCTATTTGCTAAATGCCAAAAAACGCAGCAAAACTTTATTTTGTAGATTTTATTATTATTATTTTTACTTTCTTTGAACTCAGAAGTCAGAGGTTAGCATACATTTGGTCAATATCAGGGGTAACTGTTTTATTAAACTGTATGAGTTGAGTTAAATCTTTTGGGTTTCCTTGCTCAAATGTCTCCCAATAGTTTGCCGGAGTTCTGGTTTGTTCCTCCTAACAGAACCGGCATAACCCATTACCCCTAAAGCGCTTTGGGGTCCTCTGGACTGAATAAAGAGCAGCACAGGCCATTCACCACGGACCACGAATGCAGCATCTGGAGATTGTTCCTGAATTGAACCAGATCTGGGAAGCTCTACAGTTCTCTTCCTGATATAGTGGCTGATTTCTTTTGACCTTCCAGACTCACTGCACAAAGTGAAGTGTAGAACAAAGAACAGGATTTTACCAGGCCAGTGTCAAACAGGAAAGCAGTGGGTTTCAGATGTGGCCTTAAAATACATCCATCCACATGTGTGTCTCCAAATAACTCAAATGTGTCAGCTCAGTTAATCTATTAGAAGTATGCAAAAGGAAACCCAAAAGGTTTGACTTAAGTGATGCAGCTAAAAAAAAAAAAAGGATTCCTGATACTCAACTGTATTCAAACGTCTTTGTTTGAAATAAGTTATGAAAAAAAATCTTCTTGCCAAGTTTTTGTTGTTTAGCAACATAATAATAATTTAGGCAATTCTACCTGACCTGAAACAAGAGACATTTGGTCAGACAATAATAAAATAAAAACAAACAAAAGAAATGTTTGTGTCTTTTTATGCAATGCAGGGTTTCCCTCAGTGTTTTATCAGCCTGGTGGGACACCAGGCTTTACTTGTGCCCCTACCAGGCACAAGTAAAGCTTAATTACTGAAGTAATTAAGTATTTTTATAATGTTTGCATTTTTTAAGACGTTATTGTTGGTGTTTTAACTGAAAAACACGATGGGCCACTGGCTGATGACTGCCCTAGCTACCAACCACAGGGCTTAGCAAGTTTTCTGGGGTAAACCTTGCGGTGTATGTAAACTTCTGGTGTCAACTGTACAGGCTGACCACAGTGAGGATCTTTGAAAAATCAATCACCTTACTTAAAAAAAAAATTAAAAAAAAACTTTACATTCGTCCAAAATCAAACTCCAGTCCGCCCTCGTGCAGACTGCCCTCATTTGCGTTGTCAAAGCTGTTCTTGCCGTGGATCTGTTTGAGGTGCTTGCGCAGCACGGGCTTGTGAGCAAACACCATTTCACAGTAGTTGCAGCGGTGCGGCTTGTCCCCGCTGTGCAGGTTCAGGTGATCCAGCAGCGAGCACTTCTGGGTAAACGTCTTGCCGCAGATCTTGCACTGGAAGGGCTTGATCCCGGCGTGGACGCGCATGTGCCGGTGCAGGTTGCCCTTCTGCGTGAAGGTCTTCCCGCACAGCAGGCACATGAACAGCTTGTGCATCTTGAGGTGGTTGGCGTAGTTCTCCAGTTGCCGGAAGACTCGGGCGCACTTGGGGCACTGGTGGTACCACTGCAGAGGCTTGTCGTAGCTCCGCTGGTGTCCGACGTGCTTCTCGGTGAGCGGGGACGAGGGAGGCGGGCTGAGCGGGTAACCCGCCATGCCCGGCGGAGCCGCCATCTCGCTGCCACGGCTGTCCACGGTGGAGTTGATGAGCGAGTGCTGCGGCTCCGGGGAGTGCAGCGCAGCTGGGGGGCTAGCGGAGAAGTGGCCGGTGATGGTGTTCTCCGCTACGTCGGTCACAGATTCCACTTTCACTATGGTGATGTCGTTATCCGCCAAACCGGGCCTCGAACGCCTCCGCCACACCTGGACGGGGCTCATGGACGGCTGGACTATGACATCGTCGTCCTCGTCGTCGTCACTCTCGACGTTATTGTCTCTCTCCACCTTTCCCATCACCACCGTCTCGTCCTCCTCCTCTTCCTCCTCATCCTCCTCCTCTCCCTCAGGTACAATCCGCACCTGAGACCGCTCCTGCTCCCTTTGAGCCTGGGAGGACGGACCCTCGTCTCCCTTTTCCCTCCGCAGGTCCAGATCCACCTCCAGCTGGCGTGAGGCCTGAGGTTTGATGAACTTGTTGAGGGCTTGGGTGCACTGCTCCACGATGTGGCCCATTTGGAGGAAGCTGGCCACCGTCAGGTAATGCACGAGCTCCAGCTCAGGAAACTCCAGCTGGCCGGTGTAGCAGGAGAGCAGCAGCTGCCGGCCAACTTCCGCCTCCTGAATCATGGAGATCTGGACCTCCCTGGAGTCCTGCTGCAGGATGAACTGGTCTCTCAGGAAAGACGAGCCGGCAGCAAACACCACTTTATGGCCGGGGACCTCCAGCTGGTTGATGCGAACGACGACGTCGCAGAAGCGTCTCTGGTGTCGGAGAAGGTTCATCTTCTGCAGCATGGAGTCCCCAAACGTGGCGAATCGGAACTGCAGGATCACCTGGTTCTGGGCCATAGTGGACCACTGGGCAGCCGCAGCAGCACACCTGGCCAGGACAGATTCAAACAGAGAATCAGCCCCACAATGACACTACTGTTGACAACAGTTACTATGTCACACTGCAGTCTCAGAGGACTGTTTTCCATCATAGAAGACACCATGTTTGTCTAAGCTAATTAATTTGGCTAAACATACATTTATTAGCTAACAAATGTCGCTAAATGTACATTTACATTTTATTGGAGAGGAGGGTC